CAAAATACACCTCTGCAAATCATTTGATTTCTCTTGTTTCCCGCGTATTAAGGGTGTCGTGATTTTCTGGCTCATCTCCCGTCAATTCACAGCCCTAATTTGGTCCAGACTCCTGAGGCATCCAAAGACAGTGGATCCAAACACTGCGCTCAGAGGCACCACCGACTCGACCGAATCTCCGACGCCCGTTCTCCAATTTTTCCTTTGCACCTGGGCTGCATTCATGATGGAGACACAAGTTGCTTGGTGGGGTAGACAATGACGGTTGATAAGAACCATGTACGCCTCCAAACGAGACCCTTTATCACGAGCCATCACATGCATGCTCCCCCACTCAGCAAAACTTTCCACTCAGTGCTCCGAACTTCTTGAACGCTGACTTTTACCCCGCAGTCATCCGCGCAAAAGCTGGCGTCTAGCTGTCGAAAACGTCCAGCTTTACGGCGCTATTGTTATGAGATATGGCGAAATTAATCTGAGGACAGCACCGCCCAGCTCGTGTCTTTGCTTTCTGTGGCCAGTTGGTGGCCGTAAAAGCAACATTTTGCTCCCTTGAACAATGGCGGACTGAACAGGCACAGCGCCGCTGACACCAAGCAGAGCTAGGGCTTGGTCTCGGAGGCGCAGACAGACCCCAAAAGTGGACGGCCCAAGCCCTTTTTGATGCCAGATCTTCCCATGCATAATCACAGGGTTGGTGTTAAGAGTTCATGGAAAGAAAGTGTGCCACTGCCCACTGACCCTCGCTGTTCTTACGCGCCCCTGCATGCTCGCCCTGCAGGCTGTACGCATTTTCTGCGTCGCCACTTGAAGCGCGAGTGCGAGGGCAACTAAAAGCACTCCGCACGCAAGCGCCGCGCCCGCGTTAAAAAATGATGAGCTCGTAGTCAAGTTCCAGCCTGGGCGCTGCTATGACGCTGCCACCCATTTGTTTTAAAAGCTCAACAAGGCATAAAGCTGCATATCCCGATGCGTTTTGGAGTCGTCTTCAGTGCTCCACGTCATAATCGTGGTGGATTCAGGCTTAACGACAGAACTTGCCCGAGTGTTTTGACCATGGGGATAATTTAAAAGTCGTGTTTTCTGCGGCCGTCGCTCGGCCCGCGCGGCAGTTTGGAGCAATCAGCCGTTAACTGGGCGTGATCCACGTGCGGTGTAGGGCCATCGGGCCATCGGCTGCCATCCGCGTTCGGCGAGTACTTAGAGCCTTTCAAACGGCCGGTAGTCACAGCCTGCTGGCTGACCAGTGCGGTGGTCTCCACTCGGACGCAACAGTGCCAGCAGCGCGCGGTCCAATTCAGCCTGACAAACCGGTGAGTTCTGGAGAAGAACGCGCCGAGCTCTCGGTGGTGGGAGATTAGCGCCGAGCCGCGGCACAGCGCTCAGATCGGCGCAGGCTGGGCTTAGCGCCGGGCCGCGATACAGCGCTCAGATCGACGCAGGCTGGGCTTAGCGCCGGGCCGCGACACAGCGCTCAGATCGGCGCAGGCTGGGCTTAGTGCTGGGCCGCGGCACAGCGTTCAGATCGGCGCAGGCTGGGCTTAGTGCCGGGCCGCGGCACAGCGTTCAGATCGGCGCAGGCTGGACTTAGCGCCGGGCCGCGACACAGCGCTCAGATCGGCGCAGGCTGGGCTTAGCGTCGGGCCGCGGCACAGCGTTCAGATCGGCGCAGGCTGGGCTTGACGTCAGGCCGCGGCACAGCGTTCAGATCGGCGCAGGCTGGGCTTAGTGCCGGGCCGCGGCACAGCGTTCAGATCGGCGCAGGCTGGGCTTAGCGCCGAGCCGCGGCACAGCGCTCAGATCGACGCAGACTGATGGTTATCGCCGGTCTGGTGCGCGGGCGTGCGAACAGGCACGCGCAATCGAATGGTGGGAGAGGAGAGAACTTGGCACTGCGTGAAATCTGTTCCGATGACAATGATACGCTGAAGGATGCGATCTTCGGGTTTGGGGAAGAGGACACGCGCCACTTTTCAAATCAACTCAAGGGGATGCCACGGGCTGCTGTGCGGGCGATTTCATAATGTGCGGTCTGTCGCACTGGTAGCATAATGGACTCTAGGAAAGATTTGAAGATCGTACGGACTGTCCCGCCTTTGGACCTGGTGTGACAAATAATCCCAAGTTGACGCACAGATGACAAACTCAGACCACCCACTGCAGCCCCGTCTCTTTTTCATCTCATCCGTGCATCCCGTGCGAGGCATAGCAGGACATCTTTTGAGCCCCGCTTTGTCCGAAGCCCGGCCGCGCCTCTGCCTAGCAGCGCCGCCAGACACCCTGGCAACGGGCCACCGACCGTGAGACGGCTGCAGGCCTGACCCCGACCCCGAGACGCCCGCCGGGGAGGGCGCACTGCGGGCCTGCCGTGCATGGGACCATCGACCTGGCGCGCCCTGCCCGGGGCCGGTCGACGGGGTGTACAATGCGAGCGCATCATTAGTCGGTCCCGAGGCGGCGCTGTTCCCACTGACGCCTTTGTTCGGCACCCGTCGCCGCCGCTCAATTCAGCTCCTCCGGCCGGCCACATCGATTATAATTGCGCTCAAAGAAGAGTAATTGACCCATTGAAACTTTTACACTTAGCGCTGTGTGATTTCGCCCACATGTTGGCCGCCGGAGCGTCGTCAAATATTAAATAGATTTCGTCGGCCGGTTATTAGGTGCGGAAATTATCATAAAACGCCGGTGGGCAAGTGTTAAATGGCCAGTAGCGGAGCGGCAGCGAATGGCTGTAGTTAGCGAGCCGGTCCGGTCGTGCTTAAGGCGGCGAGTGAGGAGCAACAGCTGCCGACAACAGCTCCGTGTGATGGACAGGCCGCGCCAGCGCCGACCGTAGACAGGCCGCGCTCGCCGGCCGTAGACGGGCCGCGCTCGCCGGCTGTCGTAGTGTCCCGAGCCAGAGTGGTTCGGCGGCCGGCGGCCGGATATCCGGTAAGAGTCGCGGGAGGTGTGCGTGTGAAGTCCGAGCGTGGCACTCAGGGTCGCTGGGACAACTTTGCATCGTGGGAGATCGTCCGACGTGCCGAATTCGCTATCATCTCACCATGCCTATGTCATGCTGGTGCAAGCTGATCACGACAGCGTGGAGCCTTCCCAGAAAGTTGGAAGGCCCCTTTTGAAGTCAGTCCTTTTCATGCATCACCATAGGTTTCATGATAAAATTGCACGGAAAGTGGGACAGACGATCTCCACTCACCTTGTTCGCAGGGCCATGGCTGACCGCACCGAACATACAGCTCCGTTTGAGTTAATTTCCAGGCTATCCGTGTTTAAGTGATGTGTTTTCCCCCAGAACTTAGCAGTTCATGAACTTGATGAACTATGTTCATCACGTCGCAGTTAATATATGATCTTTTAAACACCCTGCAGAGAACAAAGCTCTCCTCGCCCACTTCTTTCACCGGTCTCATCTTCTTGTGGATCTAAGCATTACCTAAGCATCAATTTGAAAACAGATACTCTGCACTGGAGTCAGGGGTATATACAAGGCTTGCTGGGCCGGGGGAAGGGAAATCAAATTTTCACTCAAGCATTCTTTTTATCGCACCGTAAGTGAACAATTTTTGCAGGCGCATGACAACATCGCATGTTTTCATTCTGCTTCTTTTTGCGCCCTACCGCAATATTTATAGTGACAGCACTATCTTTTATTTATTAGTGATATGTAGTATATATATATATATATATATATATATATATATATATATATATAGACATATAGATATATATATATATATATATATATATAGATATAGATATAGATATAGATATATATATAGACATATATATATATATATAGATATAGATATAGATATAGATATAGATATAGATATAGATATAGATATAGATATATATATATATATATATATATATATATATATATATATATATATATATATATATATGTATATATATATACATGTATGCATGTATATATATATATATATATATATATATATATATGCGTATTTATCGACATGCACATTTACCCCTTAGATATTAGATAAGAGGGAGCGTGCCCCCTTGCCCTTCTGCTGAACATGCCCCTGACTGGAGCTGACAGAGCGACTTCCTGCGTTCGGCAGCATTCACACTAATCGTGCTATTCATTTCGTGATAACAATGTCGTTTAGTGACGCGAACAACGCAACGCAAGTGAATCAAATGAACAACGCAACGCAAGTGAGTTAAGTCGCTGTATAACACCTTAGTAGCAACACAATCTCTGAAATTACAGTCCCTCTGATACGAGTTAGGGAAGTTCACATATGGGTTTTGTTTGCTACTGCAGTCGTCATAGGCATACTTAACAAACACGCTTCAGCCGCAAAGAGCAGTGTAAATGGACCAAAAACACGGAAATGACGTGGACACCAAATTTCCATACAATTCAAATAATCTATACACAAACAAATATGTTAATATGATCGATGTATTTCACCATTATCCTTCCAAATACATTTCCCAAAACGGCCAGAAGGAACAAACGCGCAACGCTGAGTGATGCGTGGTGACTTGGGAAGCGTCCAGTGGTCAAGCTGCAATGGTGCTTTTAAATCTCGGCATGTTAATAAAGAGTATATAAACTGAGAAACTATGATAGCTATGTCGTGATGACTATGCGTCTTTTCGCCATCCTTTGTCCTATCGAACCTGACACTTATTTGAACTTGAACTTAATGTTCACGCCATATTTTTTAAGCCTTTCCTTCTCAGGAAGTACCCAAGCAGACGTTTACCAAAAGCTGCTGACTAGCCGACCAGTATATTTATGACCGTTTTCTTCATGCTGCAGGGACTCTGTTCCACTCGTTTGGAGTCGAAATCATAGGCCCTCCCCAAAGCTGCCTCCCGAGCAGAGGAGGCTCTTCAGGCTCTGAGCCGTCTCCTAGTCCTGCCCCCAGACAGGCATCGTGCACTGGTGTGACCCCAGTCCATGACTCTTCGGATGTGATCTCAGTCTATTGCTTACTGACGCGTCGGCTGGTTTGTTGCAGAGGGCGACCGGTCAGAGAGCGCCGACGAGAAGAAGGCGGAGCAGCAGAGGAGGGAGGAGGAACTGATCGACGAGGAAGAGGAGAAGGAGAAGTGCATCACCTGTGGCAAGACATTCCTCTCAATCTTCGAGTGAGTACAGCAGAAAATATGACATCTTGGCAAAGCATCAACTGAAAATATGCAATTATTACATACCATTTAAACATGTAGCTGTTCGACCAGTGATCCGGGTGTTGTTTTATGACGTGCTCTGCACGTACTGCTGGGCCCGCTCTGTATACTGCGCCGTGATATGTCCCACATTACCGGCACCACTTCCACTGACAGGTTTAGATGCATTATTTGGTTCGAGTGGGTTCAGCTGGCTAAATGTGGCACAGGAAATTGCTCGATTACACGCTTTTTTTATAGAGTGTGGTATTCACTATGTAACTTTACACATGGGCACGTCCGATGACCATTGTCAGGTGACCTTTGATGCTGCATGGAGTGTGGTGCTCACTCTGGAACGGTACATACAGGCACGTCCGATGACCATTGCCAGGTGACTTCTGATAGCTTATTTCCAGCTTAAAACCATACATCGACCCACAAAGTGGTGAAGCGGTGCCGTTCCAGCTCCCATAAGTACCTGTTGCGTCAAATAACTTCCCGAAATGCTGCTTTTTGCCCCGGATTTTTAATCACATAAAATAACCCCTGTACAAAGAGCACGGTCGGGGTCGCATGCAGACCCCCATAAATGCACCACCACTGGCCATGTTTATTTCATGCCTCGTCATCATTTCACTGATTGCCGGAGATACCATCGTGCCGGGCTCGTCTGGCCCTGCCTCAGTTCCGGTCCGGTGGAGAGCGCCGTTACTCCCCCACCGCCACCTCCCCCTCCCCCCGACACCGTCCCCCACCCCTCCCCCTGGCGTCCCCTCGGGCCGCATTCAGTGCGCGGCCACAGTAATTACAGGTGTGATATTTGGTGCCGATGGTGGCTTGGCTCGCACGTCAGTCGGCGACCGACAGATTGATGTGGATTAAAGACGCGGTTTGGACGGAATGCGCCGTGTGCGATGATTGCGGCGACTGCGCGTCTGCGGCCGAGTAGGCCAGGAACCATACACGTTTGATATTCAGAGGGTATCAGATCAAGATACCCACACGTTTGGAGTTTAAATAGTGCCGCACGTATCAAGGTCCCAAACGAATGCTGCCCGTGATTGTTGGTAGCGTCATTTACTATCCACTGGTGATTCCCGAAAAATGTCCCCCGACCTGCCGGATGTGGAACACATGGCATGCATAAATGATGCGGACGGGGACAATGTGTCCAGGTGGTGGGCTCGGGTAGGCTGGACATGATGTAATGCTCGTATGATCATTCTGCTGTCACATCCCAGCTGCCGCCGACAGAGAGTCACATTAAAATCGTTCGGCCAGTGGGATAGGTGACATTTGTGCCCGGTCACGCAATGAACCTAGCCTAAATGTATAATGAACAACATCAGCACGTTGAAAGATTTAGCACACAATAGGATGCAGGTATAACACAGTTAGACAAATGCGAAGATTGGAAAAGCACGTCCAGGCAAATGCGTGGACTCAGTTCTTACTACTTGTTGTTATAGCTGAACTTGTCACAGTGCATAATAATTGCATTAAGCACAGTTTCTAACTAGATGTCAATGCGTCGGGGGGGGGGGGGAGGGGAAAGGAGGGCAACACCAAACCCCGCAGATTTTCCTTAAACGCGAACAGCATTGGAGATGCATCCTTTTCGCACAGTACGGAAAAATACCGAATGACGGCTATGCAGCACATTAACGTGATGATAGCTAGCCACTAAACTTATAACGCGAATCGTCGACTGCGTTATTTGCTCGAAGAGGGTAGCGACCAAAGTGGGCGACACTGATCGGCTGGTTGCGTCGGCACTGACGCCGCCACCAAAATACTTCAACCCTCGGGACAATTGTCTTCAACCTATCGCATGAACAACAGTGGGGTTTTTCAACGCCGCGCGCAGGCAATGACCGCGAGTTAAATAACAGAGGTGTTGGGCAAACGGGTACAGCACTGCGATCTTGACCTCGTTTCTTTCACGCTGCATGGGGAACTTGCCGGACATGGGAGACACTGTCCCCTCGCTCCCTCCACCCCCCTACGCTGCCCAGACACACGTGCTAGTCACTATGGCACCGAGGCAGGACGCTATGGCGTGGTCAAAGTCGACTGATCATTGAAACACTTCCACTTAACAGCCCACTGCACAGACGACATCCCGGACTCCACAGACTAATATCGTTACATGTCTTTACACACTTCAGCCCATTTAACAGTCATACGTCTGGGGTTGGCCTCTTTATCTGTGTATAGAACACTGGAAACCACACCTCGGACACAAGCGCATATCTCAAAGCACCGCGCACCTCGAGGGCTGCGTACAACTCATCATATGTTTGTCACATTCTTCATCAAACTGCACATTTCTGTCAAGACCCTTAACTCTCAAGCCTCACGTGTCAGTTCACACGCCAAGACCATCGAAGTATGTAGACAGCCAGGGTCCGAATGCGCATTATTCTGACCTCTTCACCAGCGAGAAGACATAGATCGCGTCCAAACGCTGGGGCGGCCAGTCAGCGCGCGTCTGTCGGCGCATGCGTACTGCCGCCGGACCTGTCGATGAGCGGATGAATGGAATACCGGTGAAGGGTGCTATCACTGGGCGGGCCGAAACAGGTGCGTCCGCGCGCGCTGCCGCCTGTAATTACGCCACCTCTGGCGCCGTACGAGGGCTCCGCCCGCCGCATCAATGGTAGTGCGGCCAGCTGCCGCGCCGGGCGGGGCCGCGGCGAGCGCGGCGCGCTTCCTGCGCACGCGGCGGCGTTAGCGGCGCACTCGCGCGCCACAGCCCATCGCGGCCGGGCGGGTCAGTCCGGAGCTCATCAGTCATACGTTTGGGGTCGATGTCGCGCGCAAGACCAGCGCCGCCCGACGGAGCGTGGGTGCCGTACGATCAGCCCGCTGCCGGCAGCGGACTCCGGGGCGGGCGCCGCCGCTCGTCGCGAGTAACACCAAACACTCCCAGCACGACACCCGCACCCGCTGCAGGCGGGGCGAGCTCGGACGTCCTGACGGCCGCCAGCTGTCGCCGCCTGCTGCAGGTTGCGTGCCCGACACCCATCGACAGAGCCACAGACAAGCATGTGAACGCGAGCCCATACGTCGGGCAGGTCGTCCCGGGCGCGGCCGCCGAGGCGGAAAACGTGCGTCGAGGGGTGCACGCCTCCACGTGGCTGCGGGCGGGCCTGATTCATCACGCGGACACCACACTCCTCCCTCGTGGTCCGGCATGTGCGCATGCGGTCATCGGTAAAACCGGATCCAGGTCTTTTGTAGCAAACCACAGTGGATGAGGCGAGGCGGGACGTGAAAGAAGGACAGGACCACGCGAGTTGGCGCCATCACGTCACCAGACCGGTGTTGTTGGGGCGTGCCACGCATCACGTCATCCTGATCCCGATAGGTTGCATCGCAGCTTATAGCCCAAGCCCAATGAAACACGATGCAAACACTAGTTATGCACTAAACGTATGAAAATGCGCTTGTTTACGACTGTGCAACAAGTTATGCATTGTTAGGTAGCAACATGATAGCTCAAAGAAACCAATTTAGAGCCATCGTTAAGAATGTGTGCTTTTGCTTGATACGTACTAAACGAGCAGCTGACCTCAAACCCAGAAAATTAGCAAACCAACTTGACGATCAGTTTATGTTATGGGAATGGCAAGATTCCACAGGTTTCGACGCCTCCTATCGCCACGGGGATCACTGACACGTGATACCAGCTATCAATTCCCCACACAAAGACAGACAGAATTTTCCCAACAGCAGCATCGATGACCCAACCAGTGATCGATGACGCAGTGAACCCCGGCCGATGGACCGTTCCCGCCCGGCGCCGCTCACCGCCCGTCTGACGTTTCGTCCCGTCTTCGGCAGACTCGACGAGCACGCCGCAGCGGTGCACCACTACCCGGCGGGCGCGTTCAAGTGCGACTACTGCGCGCAGGCGTTCGCGCTCAACGCCAACCTCATCAAGCACAAGGCCGACCAGCACGGCGAGTACCGCAAGTACCCGTGCGAGAACTGCACGCGCGTGTTCCGAGACCCGGGCGCGCTGCAGAAGCACATCCGGGCGCAGCACGTGGGCGCGCGCGCGCACGCCTGTCCCGAGTGCGGCAAGACGTTCGCCACGTCGAGCGGTCTGAAGCAGCACACGCACATCCACTCGAGCGTGAAGCCGTTCCGCTGCGAGGTGTGCCAGAAGGCGTACACGCAGTTCTCCAACCTCTGCCGTCACAAGCGCAACCACGTCGACTGCCGCAAGCAGATCAAGTGCGGCCGCTGCGGGCAGGTGTTCAGCCACGAGACGTCGCTGACGAAGCACAAGCGCTTCTGCGACTCGGCGCCGGCGCCGCTGTTCGGCGGGGAGAAGCCGCCCGCCGCCCCGATGACGCTGCCACCCAACGCGAATCCGCTCATGTCCTTCTACCCGCGCCTGGGGCTGCCGTTCTGCGCGCCGCCGCTGCTGGCCGACTACGCCTCGCTCGTGCCGTCGGCGCCGGTCGGGCTCGGACATCCGTTCCTGCGGCACCCGTTCCTCATGTCTCTGCCCAAGGCGGAGCCGCCGGGCACCGCGCCCGCCGGCTTCGACGCCGGGCTGTCGGCGCTGCCCGGCGCCGAGAAAGGTGCCGAGAGCGCGCCGGCGTCGACGCCGACGCCGACGCCGACGTCGACGCCGGAGAAGCCGCGCGCTCCGGAGGTGCGCGGCAAGGAGAGAGTGGGTCCTGCCACCGCGCCGGAGCCGCGCGCCCGAAAAGCACCGGTAACGTCCAAGAAGGAGCCGAAGGGTTTCGTCTCGATCGTGGCGCACCTGAAGGCGTCTGAGGTACGCTCGCGCACCCCTTCGCCGGCGGCGGAGCCGGAGACGAAGCGGGCGAGTGACCAGCCGCTCGACCTGAGCAAGAAGTCGGAGGATCTGTTCGTCGGCTTTGGCAGTCCATCCGAGGCCAGCGACCCCGGCGCCGCCAAGCAGGACGGCCTCGAGGCGAAGGCGACCGAGTTACCTGTACCAACGTCGTTCGGCCAGCCGAGCTTCCCGGCGCTCTCCGGCAAGTTTCCGATGATGGCCTATCCGCGGCCCATTCACCCGCTCATGGAGAGCATGTATGGTCTAGAGAAGGCCGGCTGCCTGCCGTACGGGGCCGCCATGCCTGGATCGTCGCTCTCGCCCTACTCCATGCGCTACCCGTATCCCTACCTGAATCCGCTGCTGGCACAGCGGTCGTTCGATCTCATGCGCGCGCAGGTACCGGGTCTGACGCGGCCGTATCAAGATGTGCTGACAGCGCATAGCCAGCGCGCCAAAGACCGCTACTCGTGCAAGTTCTGTGGGAAGATCTTCCCGCGCTCGGCCAACCTAACGCGCCACCTGCGCACGCACACGGGCGAGCAGCCGTACAAGTGCAAGTACTGTGAGCGCTCGTTCAGCATCTCGTCCAACCTGCAGCGGCATGTCCGCAACATCCACAACAAGGAGAAGCCGTTCCGGTGTCCGCTCTGCGACCGCTGCTTCGGCCAGCAGACCAACCTGGACCGGCACCTGCGCAAGCACGAGCAGGGCGTGGCGAACCTGGGCTCGGACAGCCCCGACTCGACGCACAACGAGCCCGGCTACACGGACGAGATCCGCAACTTCGTCGACAAGGTGACCGACAGCAGCGCCATCTATAACTCGAGCGATGATGACGAGGCGCCACCTGGCAAGAGGGCACGCTCCGTGTCGCCGTCGCCCACCATGGTGCCGAGCTCCTCCCGTCTGGCCTCCATCGAGCCGACGGGGTCACGGACCGCGCCCCTGGAGCCGTTCGACAGGCAGCTGGACCGTGTGACGTCACCGAGCAGTTAAGCGGGCGCGAGGACCCCGGCGTCGTCCGCCGTGCGGCCGCACCCGCTGTGGGCTAATGCTTGCAGCCGGAGACGCTGGGCATGGCTGACGGCGCGGTGGAACGTGGAGGCGTGTTTCGGCGTTCTAGTCTGCGGCATTGTTTTATGTGTGCGTGGTCGGCCAGTTTAGATGGTTAAAGTATTGTACATCTGCCCACACTAGTATTATGCGTGTACAGAATGGGATCATTCGTGATTGTGATAATGTTGGGGGTTGGTGTTCTCGCTACGTTTCAGTTCCTATGGAGTTTGTCACCAAAGGTCACGCGTTTGGTTGCGTGAGTCACTTTGACGTGGAAAGAGCTTGTGACAGATGCCACGATGCGCTGCCGCACCACTATGAAGCTTTACGACCCCGGTCCGACAATGACTATGACCTCACCTTACACGCCGTGTCGGGTTCACTCTTGTCCCAAAGCGTTCCTCGTGACCGGCTGCTTGGAGTCATTTTTCATGGAGTAGAGAACCGACTGTGTATCCGCATGCGCTTTTGACAACATAATTTTCTATGGATGGAAACCTCGGACTGTCTGAACCAGTTTCTGAACGGCACCTGTTGGATTTGTGTCTTGTTTTAGAAGCTACGATAGTCAGCGCTCGGCCAGTATGATGTGGTGGATTCGTATTGATTCCGTGGCGAGGCGTGTTTATATCAAGTGGAACAGCGCCCTCTCATTTTGCTGTGCCTGGCGTGTGTTGTTTGCCGTGTCCATGAGGCCCAAACATATCTGTTTTCCCGAACGTACATCTATTCCGGATGTATTATAGTGCCGTGAGATTTTAATATTATATCAGCAATAAACTGCTACAACAACGGACGGTTGTTTAACGGCATGTGTTAGAGCAGAAGGCGTCGAAACCGACAAGCAGTATGCGTGTCATGCAGTAGTATGCGAGCAGCAGTAGGCGTGTGAGTTTTCTCCTTCACAACAGCGGTCTTCTCAACATCAATATATGGGAAAACACTCCTCCTCAGCGGTACGTTTCTCGACCGAACCAGCCTGGACATTATCAGGTCATTTTGATGGGGGGGGGGAGGGGGCTCGAATTATAGGATCCAACACTCAGCGACTATATTGAAGCAGACCACTGAAACAGTGCTCCCCCTGCAGGACCTCTCACAGCCGATGACCCGGACACCCGAAATCGACATAGTAAGGGCTACATACCGTCAAGGCACTCACCCCCGTCCCTAGTCACGCTAGCGAGGCCGCATGACTAAAGCACTGCTGAGTGCTTCGTGGCGCAGCGATCTGAGCTCTGTCTCACCAGCTGAGCACTTCGCGGGTTGAGTCACGACCATAGGCACCAATATGTAAGGCGTAACGGGCTGGGTTGGGTACTTATTTGGGGATAATTACAGGCACGGGTATGGGTGAAACGCGTCTGAAATTCCGGATAAGTACGCTTTAAGAAATATTACACATTTTTACTGCTTCCACCCCTTCACGTCATGCCTAGTTTATTTCACCCTACTTTTGCAATCATCAAGGTAGGAGAATGCGTTTGTGTAAACCTTTATGAAATTTATCCATGATACACATGCAATAAAAGTGCTAGAAAATGCAAAAAGATGAGCGACGAGTGGGTACATTTGATAAGTAGCGGGGATCAGCTCAGCCCCATGCGTAGCGGGGGATTGAGCAAAGCGAATGCTGCCCATGAACGCATTATATCACGACCGAAACGTCCTTCGCTATGTGGAGGAACAAGATAGCAGCACCTGTGGCCCACGGGTGATATTCTCATCAAGATCAAAACGTAAGCAAATGAAGCCGTCGCTTTTGGAATAATGCGCAAATAGGCGAATAGGCGATTGGTGACTCATAACGCATTCACAATAGAAATCCATTTTCGAGCCCTGAAACTACCTCCGCCGTGTTACTGTCGCCATGTTGCAATAACCATACTGCTATTGTGACTATGATATTCTTAGAAAGTGTCAGTTACTTCTGTAAAAGTAATGCAGAAAGTATAATCCCGGTAGCCGGGAGGTTGCCATCATGACGTGATCGCAAGGTTCCACTGAAAGCACGGATGTCTATTTTCTTCTTTTGTAACGGCCCTGCCCCCGGTGACTTTGGCCCCCCAACGTTGGTTTGGTCCCACCCAATATTTTGGGGTTAGAATATCACAGAAACATCAGAGAGTTAACCATAAAACAAAGACGTACTTCTTTGACCCATCTTCGCGGTGGCGTCGCCGTGAAGGGTGCAGCTAGTTAACTTGAAATTACAGCCTCAATATTATGTCTCGACTTCCTCCTATTATATATATCCAACTTCAACATTATGACTTCCTCCTTTTCGTCCGCCAGTTATAAGCCACGACGCTTTTCCCCGCAACTAAAGGTTACATTGACGCCAGTGATTCTTGATTGTAAGATCTCAAAAGACAACAAAGTTGGGTGCCATTTTTGGTTCAGCGCGGCATCGATAGTGCGGATTCTGGATGCAGACCAAGAAAGCATGCAGAAAACGAACATTTTGCAGAGGCAGATTTTAACCTGATTCCGTGCTGACCATAATGCATTGCACGCACACCCTTAACTAGGACGCTTAACCACCACCCCATTGTTGTGATGCATTTTGAACAGATCCATTTTGCCTCAGTTCCTTATTCAACTAGCACGAAACGATCTTTACCGTGTCATGCGACTACACGGCTGTCGGCTACCCTCTAGCGAAGCTGACACTATCAAACCAACGGCTCAATGGCCTTCGTTGGCGGCCCATATATGAACACTTAATCTGGAAAGTGAACCTACCACTACGGGTTTCACTACATCACGAATGTGGTCACCGTAAATTCAGCGCTCTATCGAGGTAGGATTTCCGCCACGACGATTCATGGTCCTGCGCGGAAATACGCGCTCTTTTTGCGGCCATTGTACGTATTGCAGCCCACGAGCTAGTAAATAGGCGATGTCTGTTTCTTATTTCTTCACTAACTATTGTTGTCAAAAGATGTCCTTTGCGACATCAAGCGCAATCACGCTCAAATAAGACAGCATAAGAGCTTTATTCCATGTGGAATAAGCTCTTATAATAATGATAATCATGCAACTATCTCGCCATTCGATAATGCATCATCTATCTCTCCATTCTCCTGTTTATTCTATGACGAATAAAGCTTCTAGTACTGACTTGCTTACACGCATAATGTTCCTCACAATGCACCCAACAACTTACGCAGTAACGCTTGATTAAACTGGGATGAATACATGGAACCATTAGTTGGGGTAGTGGCATTGCTTTTGGCAGCCGTTAGTTGGAGTTGTGGTATTGTTTTTGACAGCCTTATGCTTTTCGGGACAAGGTTAGCAGAAAGCTTCGGTTTTGTCTAGAATCATGTCGCCAATGTGTTTTAAAGTAGGTATGTAGCTACGTTCTACCATTTTAGGGGATTCAGCCATTTGGAATGTGTTCAGACCATCAAGTTGCAAGAGTTTCAGGTTTCATACACATTGCGGTGTACGGCAGATAATGATAACATTAAATAATGCGTAATCCTGCGCATTTCAATCCAAGTTATTTTGTAGGCTGGCCACTTACCATTTTGTTGTGATGGTGAAGAGCTAGCCCACATGAAACTCAAATGGCTTACATGCATCCATTGAATGGAAATTTACGCGCACCTCAGACAGTGCAACAGCAATTTAACAATAAGCGCGCATGTGGTGGTCCAACTAATAGCACATGCATTTTCTACACCACTGTTAAAACAAGCTCATCCGCAACATGATGTTAACAGAGCATTTTTTTATCCGACTGAAGCAGTTATAGAAAAGTATTGGATTCATCTGCGGCATGGCCAAGGGCATCACCTTATGTTTGTTCGAAGGGAGCCTCCCCAATTAACGACTGGAGCCCCCTAAATGCTCCTCTGAGCCCCTCAATGTCTGCAGTCAAAAAGGGAGAAGTGGGCCTAGTTACCTAGACACATCATCATTAGTGTCATTCTCATTTTGCACCAAATAGTATCCAGTAGGCACTTAATGTTTTTTGTCACGTCAATTCCTGCATATGCTTGGCCAGTCTGCGAATGTTGTCAAGTTTTTCACGTGATTGGATGACTTGGATCGAATTGGACCGGGGTATATCGGACCTGGATAGACCAACATGAACATTACCAACCTGGACTGAGATAGACAACGACCTACTGCAACATGCGGCGACTTCTAAAAGTTCGCGTTTGTCCAGATACAAGTCAACGGATGCTTCCCTAAACAGTTACAAGGCTCTTTGTCGCGCCTGTCCACGTGAGAGGCCACAGCGCGGCAATTTTAGGCTGCTGTTCTTCCCAGTTAGACGATTCCCGAGCCAATCCAGCGAAGCCCGTTCCGTGCGTGGTGTGACCTCGTTCTGCTGACCAGCCTGAGGGCACAGTCGGGCACACATTGCGAGTACCCAAAGCGACTCAACCCCATTCCGCCATAGGTTTGTAAATCGGAAGGCAGGCGCCCTAACCAGCTGAGCTATTGGGACGGGCTCAAGTACTCCGCGGGGCGGGATGTTTTAAGGTACAGATCTGCGGCGCATGCTCCATCTGTGTGTCCTTGATACCGTGTCGAGAAATGGGATCAACACAATTTGTCGGGTGATTTCCAACGTGAGAGAAATAATGAAGTGGGGTTGCTCGCCTATTGCGAGGAAAGCCGGCCACGAGCCCAGATTTAAAACCTTGAGTTTCCTCAACATAACTAGTTTCTTTGATAACGTCGCCTAACCGCCGTATCATGGCATAATCAAGATTCATCATTATTCCTACAAAACATCCAACTCCATCACCCCAAAACACTAAGACTCCTGACACTAGCCGCCTCCTTGATTACATCAGCTTCCAACACGTGTCAAATCGTTGGTTACGCTATTAAGACGGCTACTCTGGGGAGTCATCCGGACAGGAGCCATTACCTACTCCGACCTTCGTTCTCGAGTTGCCTGTTAAGAAGGTCGTACAAGCTCAGTTTTTACCTTTATATGAAGGAACATCGTGACAGCGTACTCGATAATCTTACATTGTCTCCATCCGTGCGTGTCATGCTACCCCATTTTATATAAAGCCTTCTTTTTGAGCCTCGTGCCACCTTCGATTTACCAAGAGCAACGCTTGTTTCCGTTGATCATAAGGACTCGAATTACTGAGATGTTTTTATTTAAATCACACTCTTTTCTAAGCCTATCACTACAACGTAGCCTGGCATAGCTTTACAACGGAAAGTCATTTCTCGACCGAACAACAATATGGAATTGATGAAATATTTCCAAAAGATTTTCATGATTTTAGCATTGGATTCGTAAATTGATGCCAACTGAACTGGCCAAAAAACGAAAAAAGTCAGGCTTGGGGTAGATTAGGTCAACCTCATCGGCTCGGCCCCGCAGACGATTTGGAAAGTGACCTCGGCAAGACTGTTTTAGCTGAATCACAGTATTTACACTACCCTCCCAATAAATGCAAAGGCAATAAACGAAATATGCGAAAACGGGTCAAATGAAACATGATATCTTGAGCCTTGAGCTCCAAGATCAAATGAACAGGTGCTCAAACATACGAATTCTTCATCTCAAAAATATCTTCGCGGACATTGTGATAACAAATTTATCCACTGTGCGACATCGGCATTAGAGGCAACGACCTGGAACCTGAACTCCAAAGGTTTGATGTATCCAGTTCAGGATTACTGGACAGATTACAGGACAGAAGTTTTGGAATTTGCAGAGAGCCGAAGATCCGATAATAATGAATTTTGCTGTTTGTAAAGCCGCCTGGCGGCCTTCAGATGCATTGGTCTCATAAGA